CCTGGGAGTCCTCGCCCTTCAACCAGTGGTGGTTCCAGCCCAACATCTCCTGGGAGTCCTGACTCTTTAACCACTGGTGGTTCCAGCCCAGCATCTCCTGGGAGTCCTGGCTCTTCAACCAGTGGTGGTCCTGGTGACACATCTACCCACAGCCCTGTCCCCACCCTTGGCTGGCTCCAACCCCCATCCTAGGCTGTCCTGGTCCCATCCCCCTGCCTGTAGGGCACATTCCTGGTGTCCTCATCCCTACCTCGATGTCAGGGATGTTCTCCACCAGCTGCCGGGCGATATCCTTGCAGCCCCCCTCCAGGGCGTCCGGGGGCATCTCCCCATCCGAGTACCAGTCGCGGTTGGCAGAGTGGGCGTAGGCAGCGCTGGGCGTGGCGTGGGTCACGCGCGTGGTGGTGACGATGCCCACGGCCTTGCCTGCGCCAGCAGTTCAGGGGACAATGGTGAGAACACCCCCAAAACCGCCCGCTGGACCTCCTGCCCAGGAGTCCCGCTGTCCCTCACCTGCCTCCTTGGCCCAGCGGAGGATGGAGGTCACCTCCTGGCCCTTGGTGGTGTTGCAGCGGTCCCGGGTGACACCGGCGCTGACCCCCAGTGTCCCCTCGTTGGCTTTGACACCGCAGAGGTAGGCGGTGGCCGTGCCCGCGCTGTCGGGCACCTGGGCGTTGGTGTTGTAGGTCTGGAAGGTGGGAGATGGATCAACCCCATCATTATCACCACCATCATTGTCTTTCTCCACCACCAGTGCCACTGACAGCACCGTTCCCACCCTGGGGCTTCCCTCTCTGTGCTGTTTGGCTGCACCAGACCCCCATCCCACCTGTGTCCCCTCTTTTTGCCCTTTGCCCCCCATTTCACCTCCTGCTCCCTCTACCGTGGGGGCACATCCCCCCCTCACTGCATTTTGCTGCTTTTAGCCTTTTTTCAGTCCCTCTTTTGGCAGGGAGATGGATGCCACGGGCATCCCCACGGGGTGAACGGAGGTGGCTGCTGGCTTCGAATTTAATTATTATTTTAAAATGTTTTGTTCAGCAAAACGAGCCCGGGAGAAGCAGGGGGGTCCCGTGGCGTCCCGCAGCCGGCGGGCTCCTCCTGCCCCCCTCCTGGTTCCCACGGCCGGCCCCTGGCACGGCCAGCGGGCACGGGAGCCAGCTGCCTTCGCCCGCCCCTGACCTAATTTCGGCTCGGTCGATGCCGCCCGCCCGTGGCCTTGCGGCGGGTGTCGTGTCCCCGTGGGTGCCCCGGGGGGCTCACCTTGGCCAGGGCCACGAAGGGGAACTTGTCCATCTCCAGCAGGCTCTCCTCGCCCTGCCCGTGCAGCTGCCCTTTGAGGATGCGGGCGGCCGTGACCGTGGAGACGCCCATTCCTGCGGGACAGTGTCAGCCCGGCGGCACCGGCAGCGGGCAGCACAGCCCGCCCCGCGCAAACCCCGCTCATCTCCACTTAGCCCGTCGTCCAGGTTATCCCATTGCTCAGTTTATCGCAGCAAGCAATTTTTGGAAGCCCAGTTTATTGTGCAGCCAGTTTATCCCAGCTCCCAGTTTATCCCAGTAGCCACTTTTCATTGCAAAGCAGTTTATCACAGAACCCAGTTTATTGCAACGCCCAACTTTTTGCAAATCCAATTCATTCCAGCACATGGTTTATCCCAGCACCCCCTTCATTGCAATCCCAGTTTATGCCAGCACTCAAATGATGACAAAACCAATTTACCTGAGCACCCAATTCTTTGCCAATTCAGTTTATCCCTGCACCAGATTACTGCAATCCCAGTTCATTGCAGCACCCAATTTATTGCAACCCAGTTCACCCCAGCACCCAATATTCATTGCAAACCCAACTTATTGCAGCACTCAACTTACTCTAAATCCAGTTCATACCAGCACCCAGTTTACCCCAGCACCCACCTTAACACAAACCAAACTGACTGCAGCCACCAATATTTTTTGCAAATCCAGTTTATCCAGCACCCACAAAATTAATTGAGTTTACTGTAAACTCAGTTTACCATAGCACCCATTTTTTTGTAAATCCAGTTCATAGCAACACCCAGTTTACCCCAGAACAGATCTTTTTGCAAACCTTTTTGCACCAACACCCAATTTACTGGAACCCCAGTTTATCCCAGAACACAACTCACCACAGCACCCAATGTGTTGAAGCCCCAATTTATCCCAGCACCCACTTTATTGCACCCACTTCATCATCCCCGGTGCTGCCCCCGCCCCGGGGTGGGTGCTCCCCTCCCATCTCACCGTCCCCCAGGAAGAGGATGAGGTTCTTGGCCACGTTCTGGTTGAGGCGCTGGAGCCGCAGCGCGTTCCGCAGGGTCTCCTGCGCCTGCCGCCGCCAGTACTCGGGGTCCTTCTCCCTCTCTGTGGGGGAACGGGCTCATAGCACCCCACAGCACAGCTTTTGGGGTGCTGCCCCTCCAAACCTCACCTACCCGGGACCAGCGATGCCGAGCAGAGCTGGGCGAGGAGGAGGACGAACAGAGCCTTCATCCTGCGGCGCTGAGCGGGTGCTGCCAGGAGAGAGCTGCGAGGTGGGTGGCACCCGCTCGTGCCTCAGTTTCCCCACTGAGACCTTTGCCCCGGGGTCAGCCAAGCGAGGACGGAAAGAAATGTCCCCTCCCTGCACAGTCACCGATGTGACCCCCCTGGGGACATGCCAGCTTACCCCCCCTCCCTGGCCATCAGTCCCATGAGGCGTCACCTCACTGTCACCAACCCGAGCTGGGGGAAGCCGAGATGGCCCCTGTGGCACAGTGAGGTCCCCATCACACAGCCATGTCCCCATCACATGTGTGTCCCACTTCCATGCCCATGTCCCCATCATGTGCTTGTGCACCTCTCGTGTGTCCCCATCATGTGTCCCTGTCACCTCTGTGTTCCCATCCCATGTCCATGTCTCCACTGCACATCTGCAGTCCCATCACACACCCGTGTCCCCACCACGTCCCCTGTGTGTGCCATGTCCCTAATGTCCCCATCCCACACCCCTGTCCCCATCCCTATCACACACCTGCGTCCCTGTTGCATTTCTGTCCTTGTTGTGCACTCATGTCCCCACATGACCACGTCCCATGACACATCCATGTCCTTACTGCACGCCCGTGTCCCCATCCCGTGGCTGTGTGCCCGCCACACGCTCGTGGCCCCACTGCATGTCTGTGTCCCTGTTGCACACCCAGGTCCCTGTAGCATCTCCGTGTCCCCGCTGCACACGCACGTCCCCAGCACACTCCCGTGTCCCCGTGGCACTCTCCTGTCCCCATCACCCCCACAGCGCCCCCCCTCCGCCGCACGCCCCCTCAGCCCGCGCTCCCCGGAGAGCCTCCGTCCGTCCGTCCCCCGGGATGGCAGCGGTGGCCCCCGGGGGTCCTTACCGGGGATGGGGGCTGTCACACTCGTACCCGCACTAACTTGGGTCCCTACACCCACGTCCCTCTGGGCGGCGGGAGGAGGCCGGGCCGGGGGGACCGCGAGCCCTTAAATCCCCCCGCACCCGGCCTTCGCCTCCTCCTCCTCCTCCCCTTCCTCCACCCTCCCCCTGCTGCCAGCAAGGGGGGGCGGGAGGAGAAAGGGCCACAACTGGGCTTACTGGTGCCCTCTGCCGGGTTATACTGGGAGGACTGGGAGGACTGGGGAGCACCAAGCCTGGCTAGAAGTGCTGAGCAACCCTCCCGCTCTTCACACGCGGGAGTTTGGGGTGCCTCTTGGCGGGGTAGATGTGTGCTTTGCCGGATTTTGCATTATTTTCACCCAAACTGTGCTCGCCGCACCAGCGAGGGGTTGGGTTGAGGTGGAGGTGATGGAGATGAGTGGGGTCTCCCTGCCTCAGTTTCCCCACACGGGCTCCTGCAGCAGCCCACGAGAGATCCCTGGTGGGATCCCGCGGCATTACTGTCGGTCCCACAATAAACACGGCGTGGTGACGAGGAGGTGACTCCCAGCCCTGCCTCAATTTCCCCGTGCCGTGGGCCCGGGGGGCTCCGTGACCCGCGGAGCCGCCCGTGACCTCCCAGAAGGTGGCGGTCTCGGCCCAAAAATCCGCTCCCCGAGAGCCTCGGGGTGCAACCGAGGGAGCCCCAACACGGCCGCGATGCCAGGGGACGGGCACGGCCTCTTGCGGACCCTCCAGATCCCTCCGGAACCCTCTCCCCTTACCCCTTTCCACCCTCCCTTCACCTCTCTGCACCCCCCGGCCCTTTCGCAGCCCAGCAGAAGCGATTTGCAGCCCCGTGGGTGTGATGAGCGTGTCAGTGCTCAGCCCGCCGGGGCAGCGCAGGGGGCGGACGGAGGTGGCACCGCGTGTCCCCATCCCTGTCCCCACGGCCGGGCAGCCGCCGGCGCCTTTCGGCGTGGGGAAGCTGCACCCACCCGTGCTTTTCAGCCGCAGGCGTGCACGAGTGGCTGCAGCTGCGGGCGTGCAAGCAGCACACGCGCGCTCTCGCGGCCGCCTGCGCGCGCTCTTGCACGACCGCGCGCGTGCCCGTCGCTGGCCCCGCTCGCTCGGCCACGCGCGTTCGCACGGGCGCGCTCCCACAGCCGGAGCCCCGTGCGCTCTCCCCGCGGCCCCGTGCGCTGCCCCGCGGCCCAATGCGTTCTCCCCGCAGCCCCGTGCGTTCTCCCCGCGGCCCCGTGCGCTCTCCCCGCGGCCCCGTGCGCTCTCCCCGCGGCCCCGTGCGCTCTCCCCGCGGCCCCACGTGCTTTCGCCCTTGCACAAGCGGCGGCCGCCGCCGGGATCGCGCCTTGCACGCTCGCCCCCGGACGCCACATCCCCTGCGGCCAGGGAGCCGGGGCTGCCTCGGGGGGATGCTGTCGGCAGCGCCGTGGCACGTGGAGCCCCCCAAACGGGGCACGGGGCCCCCCGAAAGAGTTAAAGGAGGCGTGCGGGAAGCCCGTCCCTCCGCGGCCCCATTGGTTTCCCATCCCAGGTACATCCTTTGCTCGTCACCCTCGCCACCCTCGCTAGGCCGCGGCGGCGTCACGAGAGGTGCCGGGGCTCAGCGGGCGCTCGCCCCATCGGGGCCGGGGCCGGCGGGAGTGGGGTGACGGCCATGGTGAGTGGGGGGGCCCAGCGACACCCCCAGATCTGGGGGTGGTTGAGTGGGGGCCGCTCGGCCGAAGCGGGGCGCCGGGTGATGCATCTCCCGTGGGATGCTCTTTGTAACCCCAGAGGACCCCCCCCATTGCATCGCGGGGGACCCCCCGGCATCCCCGCGGGACCCCCTTTGGACCCCCGAGGGACTCCGTGAGACCCTCATTGGACCCTTAAGGGATCCCCCATAGCATCCCAAGGGACCCCCCCCCCAAGACACCCCCAAGGAACCCCGCTGCACCCCTGGGTGCCCCACTCGGGCCCCCCCCGCCGCTTTTTCTTTGTGGCCAGGGGGGTCACCAGGTGGAGACCCCAAAGTGGGTGCCCCCCTCGGGGTGCCCCCTCAACTCCCCCGCCGCCCCCAAATCCACTCTTGACCCAGACCCGCGGGGGTTTGCACCGTGTTTCCCTCTGCAAAGAGGGGGGGGGCGCCCCCCACCCAACCGAACCCACTTTTGTGGGGCTGTTTGCGAACACCCCCAAACTGGGTTGCACTCCTCCCTATTTATTTTTTTTTTCTTTAAGTTTAACCCCTTTTTTGCTGCTTTTTAAGCTTTTCTCAAAAAAATTACTTTATCTGCAGTCAGGGCTCCCTAGAAAACAGGGGGCTCTCCCAAAACACTTTCCCAGCACCCCTGATTAACACCGACACCCCAGGAATTGCTAATTACCCCCGGACATCCTAATCAGCAAGCTGAGCCTCACTGGGCGCTTGGCTGCGGGCTGTAGAGGTGCGGGGGCACCCATGGGTGCCGGGGGTGGGGCGGGTGGGCAGCGCTTTGCCAGGCGGGGCTTTGGGGGCGCGGGGGTGGCTTGGGGGGCTCAGGGTGGAGTTGGGGCGTTGGAGGGGCTGGAGGGAGGCGAGGAATCGCCATGGCGATCGTGGCCGCGCTTGCTCCGAAATGGCGCCCGGACGGGAATTGAAAGCAGCCGGCGGAGGCTCGGGGTGCCCGGTACCGGCTCGGGGCTCCCCCGGCGGGGCAGAGCCGGGCGCTGGGGCCCCCCCGGGCCTTCCTGGGAATGTGCGGGCTCCGAGCACGTGGGGTTTATTGTTTATAGAGCGAAGGAGCGATTTGGGGTAAAACCGGGCTATTTAATGCTGAGGTTTTTGTAAGTTGTAAAGAGAGTGAAAATTCCTTGCGCGGGGGGTAAAGTGTGGTGCCCCCCACCCTGTTGGAGCGGGGAGAATGCGTTTTTATTCGGATTGAAGCAAATAAAGGCTTGGAGGGGGGAGGTGTACGACAAAATCTACCCCGTTTTGCCTGCACAAAAAGGGGTGCTCCTGCTTCACCTGCTGGAGAGGGTGGGGAGCACCCCGAGGTGCTACTATGGCCCCAGTATGAAGGATATGGGTGTTAAAAATACCTCCCGGGCCCGATTTCCCCTCAAATTAAGGATACTGAGGGTCGACCCCAGTGCCTCTCGGGGGTGTTTTGGGGAACTCGGGCTCAGTTTTGATTCTCTGATGGCTGGTACAGGGTTGAGCCAGCACATCACTTGTGAAAGGAGAACAGAAAGGGATTCTTGTTTTGGTCTTTTTCCTTGTTTTCAGGCTGGGGTAGGCGGGGTGGGGGATCGCTGAGGGAAAAAAAGATTGCATTTCCTCAGGAAATGGAGTGAAAGCTGGGATTCCAGGAATTTGTTGTTGCAGAGCCGTGGGGGCTTCATGGATCCCCCCCTACCGCGTGAGCGGGGATTTGTACCCGGAGCTGCCAATTTCAGCCATGTGCGAAGTACTAAAATAGGTGGAAAAAAGTGAAAGGGGTGGGAAAAAATAGGATCTAAACAGAGATTTTCCCCACGATAAAATCTTGCAGTTGAGGCTCTTTTGCCTCACGGTTCTCAGGCTCTAGGCGGGCGCCCAGGGGAGATTTTGGGGCTGCAAACAGAGGTTTCGATACAACCGAGGAGGGAAACCGCCTCTTTGTTTTAACCCTTTTTCTTCCCCAGGTGGGTATTGTGGTTAATTAAACTGAGGCTGGGATTTGGGATTCGGGGAGAGGATGAGACTTGTTATTAAGTGTGCAAAGGGAGGTTTGGGAATGCTGCTATTGGAAACAAGGCTGAGAACCGGTGCTTTCATTCTGCCTGGGGAAATTGAGGCACGGCTGTGCGGGGTCTGGGTCAACTCATCCCTTTGGGATTGATGGCAGCGGGATGGGGACATCCAGATGGGTTTAAATCCCCTCCCTGCACTGATTGCGGGTGAAGGGTTGTGAGTGGTGCCGCTCGGGCTATTGGTGGCAGGGTCAGGGTGGATTTTGGGGTGCTCAGCCCCTCGGTGGATTTTGGGGTGCTCAGCCCCTCGGTGGGGAGTGGAGGGTTGTTTGCTCCATCGGGAGACAATCTGGCTGGATGGCAGGGCAGTGCCAGGGGGAAGGAAACAGCGGCGGCGGCACGATAAGGGCCGGCTGCCAACCCGTGAGGTTTTCCTTGTTTTTCTGCCGGGGATGAGATAAGAGGCGGGCACAGGCACAAGATAATGCCCGGGGGACACGGCGCCGGGAGGGAGCCCGTCCGCAGCTGAAATTCCTGGTGCTGTCGCTTTTGGGTGCTCGCAGGGACCTCTCCGGGTGTTTCACGGTGCGCGGGGCTCGCAGATGGGGCGTAGAGCGCGGGCGAGCCGGGAGTGCCGGGGAGAAAAGCCATTTTCTCTGCTGCCAGCCTTTCCCAGGTGCCTGGCACTCCGGGGTTCCCTGGCACAGGGGGGTCGCTCTCCCCGCTGCAGGGCGGAGGTGGATCCGGATTTATTCCAGGCTGAAGGGGAGGTTGCACAACCCGGCCCCGGGGGAAAGTGAGGCGGGTTCGGGCTTTGCTCAGCTCTTGGCTCCGGCCCTCTTTGCTTTCCATAACCATCCTCCGGCGTTTGTGTAGTGCTTTACTACCTCTGAGCCATTCGGGATTTTGCTCCCTGAAGGAAGAGGTGGCTTTAGAAGGTGTGTAAACCTTCCTTTTCCTTCATCTTTTCCTCATTCTGAGGCCACTGAGCACCTCTGTTGCTGATCTCCTGTGCAGATGTCGACCTACAAGCGGGCAACGCTGGATGATGAAGACCCCCTGGAGTCCCTTGGTGACAGTGATGGATACCCCAATGGCTTTCAGGTATAGCTTCATGTATCTTTTAGGGACGAAAAAGGGAATTTTGTGTCCTGGAAAGCAGCAAAGGGGGTGCAGAAGGGTTTTCTACCTTTGACCAGTGTCTGGGGGGTAAAGTCCAGTATGGGCAGAGCCATGTTGGCTCCTGCCACTGCTGCCCTTCGCTCCCCTTCTGGCACAGGGAGCCAGCAGGGCCATATCCTGCCTGCACTGTTTCAACACTCCACCTCCCAGTTTTTCTGCTGCCAAACCCCTTCCCAGCATGGCTGAGGTGAGCAATTATCGAAGCACTGGGAGTTTTGTCCCCACACAAAAGGGGATTAGGTTAATTCCTCCCCAAGCTGCGGGAAAGCAGCTTAAAGAGGGCTGAGGGTGGCAAGAAAAAACTCCACCAGTGCCAGTGTCCAGCCTCACTGGGAAGGGTTCAGGTCTGGAGAGACCCTCTCTGTCCTGGTCCCAGTCCCAGCTCCAGCAGTCTCTAGAATGGTGGTTTCTACCCCAAATGTGTTTTTACTTTTCCCGGCGGGGCCGTCTCCGCTTGCCGTCACATCGAGATGTTTCCTGGGGATGTTTTTTGGCTGAGTGGGAGTATCCTGTTGAGACATTTTGTGATGCAGCCCCCACCCTGTCCCAGTGCTGGCAGTGGGGACGGGGACAGCCGTGGGGTTACGCTGTGCTTGAGGAGGGGTTCAGGGTGGCACGGGACAGCAGGTGAGCCCTCCAAAGCGCTCGTCCCGCTCCCTTTCCTGCCATTGTGCCGCCCTTCCTGCCCTGTTTCTGGAAGGCAGCTGCTGCCTTTCCCAGCCCAATCCATGACGGATCCCTTGCCGGGGCTGAATTTCTGCTCTGGGCTGTGGGAAGCAAAATGGGGGCTGCGTCAGTGAGTTTCTCTGCCAGCGGGGAGACGACGCTGCTCTTCCCGCAGGTGAACTTCCGCGGCTCGCGGGGCAGCCGGGGCTGCTGGGCCGAGCGGACGCGTGCCGAGAAGCAGCTGCTGGTGCTGGTGGGGGTGCTGGCGGTGCTGCTCGTGGCCTGTCTGCTGGGACTCATCTTCCAGTACAGAGCCAGTAAGTCCTTTGCTCATTTTTTGGGGGCCAGAACTCCCAGGAAAGGGAGGATCCTGGGTTCAGCCTTTGCCTGTGAACACTGAGGCTGAGCAGCTTATCCAAGCAACCAGCAGGGATGGTTTGTTCAAGCTTTGAGCAAACAACTGCGCAGGGATCCCGCCCCCTTGACCAGAGTGGGTTGCTGGGGAGTTCTCAGAATGCAATAAATGGGGCAAGGGTGGGATGCTTACCTGCACTCCTCACCTCAGGACAGGATTCTTGGGTATCAAACAGGATGTTCAGGTGTGGGGTGGTATCTTTGGGCTCAAGACAGGATGGTCACCTGCACCCCTTCACCCCCCCACCTCAAGATGCTCAGATGCAGGATAAGGTGTTTCTCTGATCCTTTATCCTGGAACTTGATGACTGAGCACAGGATGGACTGTTTCTCTGTTGCTTTGATTTTTTAAGATTTTCTAAGCCTTCTGATGTTGACATTCTTGTAGCAAACTTTGTCACACATTTTCTGTAAATAACTCATTGTTTTGCATTCCTTTATAAAAGAAGAGAAAGTTGATAGACTGTTAGTCTGTCCAGTGTCATTGGAGAGGTGGCACTGTCACCCTCCAATCCACTGTCACTCTTGGAAAACTATAAATGTTGGGAGTCAGAAAATAAACTTCCCTTTTTCCTTCATCTTGAGAACAGCAGTGTGCACTTATGTTCTTTCGTGTCCTATAACAACATTACTTTGCATCCTTCATCCCACGGTAGATGACAGGGCACAGGGCAGGATCTCTGGGCATAAGATGAGATGCTTGCCCTGGGATAGGATGATAGGGCAAGATGCTCAGACATAGGTCAGCATGCTAGTCCATATTGCTTGCTGTAGAGCATGGTGGTAAGGTACAAGGTGGGATGCTCAGGAACCAGGGGGGGTATTTGCCTGCATCCTTCAGCTCAGGACAGGATGCTCTGTGGTGCTGCTCATTCTGCTGCAGCAGAGGAGCTGAACCTGTCCCTGCCCCCCAGGGCCACCTGCCGTGTGCCTGTCAGAAGCCTGCATCTCCATCACCAGCTCCATCCTCAGCTCACTGGACCGCACGGTGAATCCCTGCGAGGACTTCTTCAGCTACGCCTGCGGGGGCTGGATCAAGGCCAACCCCCTCCCCGATGGTCACTCACGCTGGGGCACCTTCAACAACCTCTGGGAGCACAACCAGGCCATCATGAAGCACCTGCTGGGTGAGTGTGTGGGAGGGGTGGGACCCCGCAATGCTCAGGGGCCCCATTGGGTCCCGGGGATGCCAAAAACATCTGCATGGAAATTCGAGTTTGGAACTGAACTCCAGCATCAAACTGGTCTGTGACATGCATGCTGTGAGGACATTGAGAAAGGGATCCTGGCTGTGTTTGCTCTCCTAGATGGTCCTGAGATTTTTGACTGTGGTGTTGCTAGTCTGTGGTGCTGAGTAGGGAAAAGGCCTCTGCTCTGTAAACACCATGGTGGCATTCCCAGGAGCTCTGACATTCAGGATGTGCATTCCAGACTGTCCAGAGGCTGTAGTGCCCCAGTATCACCCCAAGGATATATATTTTTCCTGTGCTATAACTTCCAGCCTTTGTGAGTAGCCTTTTGGGGGGCTGGCTGCCAGTATGGCCATTTTGGGGGGGCCAAAACTGCCACAGCAAAGGGAGGGTCCTGGGCTCAGGCTCTGCGGGCGAACGCCGAAGCAGAGCGGCTTATCCGAGCAACCGGCGGGGACGGTTTGTTCAAGCTTTGAGCAAACAACTGGCTCCTTATCAGCACTTTCCACTGCGCCAGGGCTGATTATCTGGAAAGAGAAGGTTTGGGAAGAGTGTTATCTTCTGAGAGAAAGGGGGGTGGCGCGGGAACAGCTTCGTCCCTGGCTTTTCCCGCAGAAATCTGGCGCTGGTTTTACCGGGAGAAGAGACTGGGCCTCCAGCCAAGTGGTCGTGGTCGGCATTTCCTTGAATTCCTTGGTGCTGAGGGACCTTTAGTTAATAAAACCACACAGCTGGGAAGCCAAAGGTGCAAGCTGTGTCATCAGGAAAATAAATTAAAAAACCCCAAAAACCCTCTGGGAAAGCAGAATTTTAGCCGGGGAGATGAAAGGAAGGTTTTGGAGGCAGAGGAGAAAAATGGGTTTATTGTTCCTTTTTGCAGGAATAAATAATACAGGTCTGGGGGGCACCAGCACAGAGGCAAGGGCAGCACCCAGGGCTGGATGATGCTGGGAATATCAGAGCTGCTGGAAAAATAAAAATGCTTTTTGTTTTTACTTTCTTTATCTTTTGTCCCCCAAGAGTTGGAGCAGTCACTGTGGGTGGGAAAGGAGAGGGGGGGCAGGAGGCCAGGAAGGGATGGGGCTAATGGGATGTCCTTGGGGGCATGGTGGGGACTACTGGGACAATCCTTGGCGCCTTTCTGGAGCCTGGCCTTGCCCAGAATGGGGCTGAATCCTTCTGGGTCCAGCAGATGCCCATCCCTGGAGCCCCACGTGATTCTCTCTGGGTACCTTCCACAGAAAACACCACGGCCAATGTGTCCAGTGAGGCAGAGCGCAAGGCACAGCGCTATTACCAAGCCTGCATGAACGAGAGCAAGATCGAGGAGCTGCGTGCCACCCCGCTCATGGAACTCATCCAAAAGGTTTGTCCCAGTCCTTGTGGAAAAGCCATCTTCCCTCTGCAAAATGGGGGGAAAAGCTCAGTCATGGGCAGTCCCAGCACCCTCCATACTCCATTCTTAGTGCTTCCTGCAGAAGAGCATCCCCCAGGTCAGGCAGGCAGAGGCAGAGATTTATAATCCTATAATGGGGCTTTTTAGCCCCCTTGCAAGATGTTTCCCCCCAGGATGGATATTGAGGGGATATTGAAGCAATTTCAGGTGGTTGTTTCTTACTCAAAAGTTGGTTGCTGTCTGTCCCCAGCTGGGTGGCTGGAACATCACAGGTACCTGTGCTGGTGACAACTTCAACGAGACGCTGCGGGAGGTGACGGCGCACTATCGCACCTCGCCCTTCTTTTCCGTCTACGTCAGCGCTGACTCCAAGAACTCCAACAGTAACGTCATCCAGGTGGATCAGTCAGGGCTGGGCCTGCCATCACGGGATTACTACCTGAACAAGACGGAGAACGAGAAGGTGAGGGTGTCAGGGGAAATGTGGGTTGGCTGGGAGGATGCTGTGGGTGGTGGCACCTGCCGTGCTGATCCCACCTGTCCGACCGCGCAGGTGCTCGCCGGGTACCTGAACTACATGGTGCAGCTGGGGATGTTCCTGGGAGGCACCGATGAGGAGTCAACGCGGCAGCAGATGCAGCAGATCCTGGACTTTGAGACGGCCTTGGCCAACATCACCATCCCACAGGAGAAGCACCGGGATGAGGAGGTCATCTACCATAAAATGACAGCAGGAGAACTGAAGGTAGGGATGGAGCTGGCGAGTTTCCTCATTCTGCTTTAGTTTGGGAAGTGGGATGGATGGGTGGAGGTGACGCAGCTCCTCTGGGAATCCTACACCAGCTGACACAGCCTGGGAAGCTCTTGTGCAATAGCTTGGCCTACGTCCTCCTTGGGGAAATCCTAGCCTGACCCTTCCTCTCAGCCTCTAGACCACCCCTGAGGCCAGCAGCTACTTACTGCAGCACTTATGTCCTCCTGGGACTGCTGCCCTTGACGTCAGCCTGGTCACCTCCCAGTGTCCCCAGAGGGGCTGTAACTTGTGTCAACATCTCTGACACCCACCCCACTTTCTGCTCCTTCTTTGTGGGAGGAAATTGTTTACTCCCCTTCAACCTTTCAAGGATGCTGCTGTTATAGGAACTGGCCTCTGCAAAATCAGCTGAATTCATCAAATGGGGATTGATACAGCCAATTCCAGCTCAAGAAGCAGCTGCCACCTCCTGCGATGGTTTTTAGGTCCATAGCAGCGCTGTGGCTTTTGCAGGAGCTGGCACCGGCTGTGGACTGGATGCCCTTCCTCTCCACAGTCTTCTACCCTGTGGAGCTCAATGAGTCAGAGCCTGTTGTGGTCTATGCCAAGGAGTACCTGGAGCAGGTCTCTGACCTCATCCTGGCCACGGATAAGTGGTGAGAACCCCCAGCCTGTATGGTGACCTGGGTACCCAGGGTGGGCAGGAATGTGCTGCTGCCTACTCACCTCCTCTCACCATAGTCTCCTCAACAACTACATGATCTGGAACCTGGTGCGGAAAACCAGCCCACTCCTTGACCAGCGCTTCCGGGATGCTGAGGAAAAATTCATGGAAGTGATGTATGGGACAAAGAAGGTGAGGGTGAAGTCCTCAGTGCCCCTGAATCACCATTAAAATGGTGATGGTTTTTTATCTCAAGGCCCTCTCATGTGGCATCCAAACATTAGAGATGTGGGGCAGTTTTTGGGGTGGCAGAGGGTTGGATGGGCCAGGTGGAGCAAGGAGTGGGAATGTGGAGGGCTTTGTTCCATGCCACTGCTAGTGACCACCTCCTGTCCCATGCAGAGCTGCCTCCCACGCTGGAAGTTTTGCATCAGTGACACGGACAACAACCTGGGCTTCGCTCTGGGGGCCATGTTTGTCAAGGCCACCTTTGCTGAGGACAGCAAGCAGGTGGTACGTCCCCGAGGCAGCAGCGCGCGAGTCCTGGTGCTGGGAAAGCCTCTACAGTGGTGGAACTGTCAGGGCAGACAATGTTTCTCTGTCCACCGTGTTGCATTCGCTGTGCATCTCCGCATGCCGGGTTTTTCACCATGTGTTGTCTTGGCCTCCCACCCTCTTCTTCCCTGTGGTGTGAAGGTCCTTGACCTCTCTGGGACAGGAAGCCGGCTCTTTGGACTGACGCTGTGCTGCCTTGTTTTGTCTAGGCGGAGGAAATGATCGCGGAGATTAAAACTGCCTTCGAGGAAAGCCTGGAGACCCTGCAGTGGATGGATGAAGAGACGAGGAAATCAGCCAAAGAGAAGGTGAGGCGCTGGTGGCTGCGCTGGGGAGAGGATGAAGGTGGAGGATGGTGTAACAGGGTGAGCCTGTTCTCCATCTCTGGCACTGAGAGCACTCTGGTCCTTGTCACCCTCCAGGCAGATGCCATCTACAACATGATTGGCTATCCCAAATTCATCATGGACCCCAAGGAACTGGATAAAGTGTTTAATGACGTGAGTAGGTCAGATATGTCCCCTGGGTTTTCTGTAGGAGGTACAGGATGTGTCTGTATCACCGTGGCCTCAGGGCAGCCTTGAACCCCAGGTTTCCTCCAGAAGGGTCTCACTGATGTCCTTGGCCCTTCTCTCAGGACTTCTCAGAGAGCTGTGGGCCAGTCCTAGGGTGACTGGGGCTCTTGGGATCCCTGCCTGGGAAAAGGAGGAGCTGTTTTCCGTAATGGTGATTCATTTCCCTCCAGAGACTCTACAGATGTTGGAGAGGAGGAGAAACAGGAGAAGCCATAACTCTGCTGGCTCTGGAGGCTCAGACATGGCTGTGAAGGGAGGAGTGGGGCTGGGCGATCACCACACACCACTCATGCCTTGTTCTTTTGCAGTACGAGGCCGTGTCCGACCTCTATTTTGAGAATGTCATGCAGTTTTACAACTTCTCAGCCAGGGTCACGGCTGACCAGCTCCGGAAACCGCCAAACCGGGACCAGTAAGTCCTCTGCTCCACTTCCCTGTTGTACTCAGTGGGGAATATCAGCATATCTGGAGCACTGGGATTTGGTGTCCACCAGCCTGTGCTGGTTTTGAGAAGATAAATTTAGGACAACGGCTTTGCAACAAAAGTGGATGCTGTTGGAGCAAACACTGGTGATGGCTTGTGTTGCCATGATGGCCGTGTTTCTGTTCCTGCAGGTGGAGCATGACACCTCCGACGGTCAACGCGTATTACTCTCCCACCAAGAATGAGATTGTCTTCCCTGCTGGCATCCTCCAGGCCCCCTTTTACACCCGTGCGTCCCCCAAGTAAGAGCCACGGGAAAACAGAGAGGGCAGGTCTCCCAGCTTTCCTCCTATATCCAAATCTCTGGCTAAGTTTCATGGCTGTGGAGAGCAAAAGCTGCTTTCTTAACCTCTGCATTACCCTCCTGCAGGTCCCTGAATTTTGGTGGGATTGGCGTGGTGGTGGGCCATGAGTTGACACATGCCTTCGATGACCAAGGTACAACCACGGCCAGGTGGGTGGGCAGCTGGAGGGGTGGCCAGTATGAGATGAAGAATCCAAAACTGTGTTTTTGCAGGCCGGGAATATGACAAAGATGGCAACCTGCGTCCCTGGTGGAAGAATTCCTCTGTGGAGGCCTTCAAGCATCAGACAGCGTGCATGGTGGAGCAGTATAGCAACTACACTGTCAACGGTGAGGCAGTCAATGGCAAGCACACCCTCGGGGAGAACATCGCCGACAACGGGGGCCTCAAGGCTGCCTACCGGGTAGGACCATGGGGCTGGGGAGATTCGAAGGGGGACATGGTGTGGTGGGATTTGTCTCCTGAGCCCACTGTGCTTCCTGGTTTTCAGGCATATCAAAACTGGCTGAAAAAGAATGGAGATGAAGAAACACTCCCAACTCTCGGCCTCACCAACTACCAGCTCTTCTTCGTTGGCTTTGCACAGGTACATGTGGTGACCTTGGGAGGGTGGGCACACAGATTTTTGGAGGTGGAGCATGCCCAGATGGGGTTGGGAGGGTGTGATGGCAAAACAGTCCCCCAGAGATGATGTAGTGGATGGAGAATGAGATTGGGGTGGTGCTGGTTACAAAGTAAGACAGAACTGCAGCTCGAGCTGCCTTGGCCCCCGTCACCCAGGCAGAGAGGTTGGATTCAGCACCGGGCTGGCCCCATGGTGATGGGTGTCCGTACTCAGGCCCCTTGCCCTCCATTTGCAGGTGTGGTGCTCAGTTCGCACACCAGAGAGCTCGCACGAGGGGCTCATCACCGACCCCCACAGTCCCTCGCGTTTCCGCGTCATCGGCACCGTCTCCAACTCCCGGGAGTTCGCGGAGCACTTCAGCTGCCCCCCAGGCTCCCCCATGAACCCCCTCAAGAAGTGTGAAGTCTGGTGATGGGCGAGTGCCCCAGGGAACCAGCGGCTGGTTGCTTTGTCCTCTGCCAACAGCTGGGCTTCCCCAGTCCTTTGAGGCTCAAACCACTTCTCCATGCCACGGAGAGCCTGACTCTTCAGCCGGAGCAGTGTCTGTGCCCCTGGCATTGTCCGAGGTTCAATCCACTGTGAAAACTCCTCATCCCCCGCTTGTTGGCGAAATGACTTCGGTTTGGGGGTCTCTTCTTTGCCACCATGACCGGGCCAAGTGCCGAGGCACGGGCATCTGTGGGCACTGCCTGTATTTACACACACAGCGCTCCAGCCTGACCCACCACATGGAAAACCCCTCTGTTTTGGAGGTGATAAAGGGAACCCCCAGCAGTGGCAGGTTTGTCTGCGTGTCTAAATGCACCTGATGTACCACCTTCTCTCCAAAGATGCGCACACAAGGGTGGAAAGTATTTTAAGATATATTTTTTTGGGGGAGGAGGGGGAAATACATATATTTTTTTCATGTGTTGTGGAATACACTGGAAATTTTCAGGGAAAATGCATTTAAAAGCCTTTTTTTAGTAAAAGATTAGTATATTTATTAATTTTTTTTACTTAGTGCAGCCATAGGTGCAGTACTCTGTGATCACAGTCCCTTGGCAAGGGAAGCTGGGTAGGGCTGTGGATATCTTTCCAGTCTTGGGTCCTGTGTTTCTCTGGGAGGGACTATCCTTAGAGGATGCTGATGGGAAAATTAGGGACAGCAGGCCTGGGGACAGGGCTGGAGGATGCTGCAAGTCACAGAGGCTGTGCCGGGATGCTGCAGCTCCTGGGATTAGCTTTAATTTCAGAGTGTAAAGGGAAAAATTGACATAACCAAAGATGTAACCAAGGTGGTGATGGGGTGGATGAAGCATCCTGTTCTCCCTCCTCTCTCCTCTGAAGCCAGGCCAGCCAGGATTTCCTGGCCCTAAAGCTTCCCAGACAAGTGCAGGCGGTTCCTGCCGCTGCTTCTCTCATGCCGAGCCTGCCCTCTGCCTGGGAAACTGCAAGCTCCTAAAGCACCATGTGCCCCCAGAACTCTGTCCCTCCACAGCTGGTTTGGCACCAGTGTGAGAAGTGGTCAGGATGGGGCTGAGGGACTTTTTTAAGGGATGTTTTTAATACTTGTTTTGAGGGGAAAGCACTGACAGGAGCTCAGGTGCTAGGTGCTGTCATCTCGCACTAGACAAAGCAGAGACCTAGAGGGATTTTTAATATTTATATGTAAAGGGAGGGATGGAAGGGGCTGGGTTTTTGTAACTATTTTTTCACCCTACGCATGAGGCTTATTGTAATTGAAATAATAAATACTTTTTACTGGATTTGGAGCTGATCACGACTTGAATTTTCTTAGAGAAGGAGGGTCTGCATCCATTCATTTGTGCTCTTCTCCCTGTCTACACCACTGAGACTGTCCTGTGCTGACAAAACTGAGCCAACAAGGCTTTTCCCAGCCTGTGCTTGGTGACTGCTGCCTCTCTTGGAGGCTAAATCCAGGGTTTTTTGCCCAAAAACCTCACTCTCACTGCAGGTGGCTCTTTGCTTTCCATCTCTATGGCATGGCCCCACACAGTTCCCTGGCAGGGAGGTCTTTCCCAGATGCTTTTCCTTCCTCCCGGGTGAGTTTTTGGCTGGCTGGGCTGCGGTTGGATCCAGCGGCACAGGCCCTGTTCAGGTTTCCCTCCAAACTCCCTTATTTATGGCTTGGTGATGCTGGTGGGATGCTGCCAGGTCCATAACAGGCCAGCATTTACTCTGAGCAGATGCTCCATGGCTTCATCAGGCTTGCCCAAAAAATGCAAGGCAGGACCTGGACTGCAGGCTCCCTGCAAGCCTCACCCCAGCGCCTGGCAGGGTTGATGGTCATTAACCACACCAACTGCTGGGTATTCCTTTGCTATTTAACCTAGGAATTGTTATTGGGGGCTGGATTTGGGGCAAAACTAGGAGGCTGCAGCCCACTGGTAGCAAACGTTTGGGAATACAGAGTGTTCCTGCTGCTGGCACAGGCAGGACTGAGCCAGCAGTGAGCTGGGGACATGGGTGTTGCATAAATAAGACATTAAAGTACTTCTCTGACTGTTTTTACCGTGTTTTCTCACCCAGATGGAATCAAAATGTAGTAATAGCACTCGCTTTCTGCTTGCCTGACTCGGTGTGAGGCCCTCGGTTTCCTGCAGCGCTGAGAGCGGCCGTGGCCGTTGTTTTCCCTGAGATCCGCCTGGAAATGGCGCAAACCCGCAGAGGGCGGTGGAGCCGAGAAAATCGCTGCCTGCACACTCCAGTGCTTGGCTGGCAGGAACCAGCGACGTTACCGGAGTCCTGGTTTGGTCTGGATGTGGCCCCACGTGTTTGAATTGTGGTGGAATACCTGCATTCCTAGGGAAAGAGAAGAACAGCGTGGGTGTAAGGCAAAGAGGAATAGAGTGGGGCTGGGGTGAGAGGGTGTTTTCCCAGCTGCACAGGAGCAAGGAAGGGAGCACAGGCGTCACATGGAGATGCTGTTAGAAGTGGTTTAACCATCCAAACAGGAAACACTTTGGCTTCTGGGATTTAGTTGTAGGGAGAGACCAGGCAGGTGATGGCTTAGGCACAGCCCCAGGGCAGGAAGGACTTCGAGGGTGACCATGAGCCGTGTTGTGGTAGGGGACACCGTGGTCAAGGCTGCCCGTGCTGGGTGCAGGTGGGGGAGTTTTCCTCTCTGGGAGGCTGTGGGCACAGGGAGAGCGGGCAGGAGGTGAATCATCCCGCTCTGTGCCAGCTCCTGGTGTGGGCTTGCCTGGTCCTGGGTGGTATTCGCTTTGTTGTGCGCTCAGCTGTGCCCTGGAGGGCTGAGACCTGAGTTGTTTGCCGAGGGCTGAGCCCAGGCAGGGGGAAGAATGGGGAAAGCTCCAAGCAGGACCTTTTTGTTTTTCTTTTTTTTTAATGTTGGGTGGATTTTTTTTTTTTTTTTTTTTGTCTGGAGGGTGTTGGAAGAGGAACAGTGCAGGAAAAGCAGGAGAAGCCAAAAGAGGGAGGTGCTGCTGTGCTGTGCTGGGTGAAAGCAGGCACCTGGAGCGTGCTGGAGCCTACAAACAGAGCTGGAAATGGGGGCTGTTCATAGGTTTTGTGGGGCTAAGACAGCTGGTGAGAGGCTGAACCCAACCACCTGAACTGCCCCTCTCCTTCCTCCTTTGTTCCCTCCAGGTAGGATCTGACCCCTGACACATCACAACAGTACTGAGGTCACCTAGTGGAATGACCAGATTTTAGGGCGCAAAGCTTCCCTGAACAAGCCATACCTTCCTGAAGGCAGGAGGATGGGGAGTGGGAGGTGGGGAGCAGGTTTCTAAATCCCACCTTGCAGCTGGGACCTGCTCATTCTGCTCACTGAGTCAAGAAGGCTGCATCTCCTCACTCCCAGGACCATGGCTTTGTGCTTTGTGCTTTTCCCACTTCAGGCTCTTCTCTTCACGAGCATCCCTTCAGGGGATACCCCACTCCTGTATTTCCTTAAGTTCACCAACAGCTACAGCAGTCCTCCTACACTCTGTGCTGTGGGGTTGTGTCTCTGCTGTGGCAGGTACAGGAGAGGCTGGTGGGACTGGAAAAAGGGCTGGTGATGCTCTGAAACAGGAGATCAGCACTGTGGGCTCCAGCTGCCCACGGTGACACATCGCTTCCCAGGTGCTAACAGAGCTAGCAGGAAAAAGAGGAGGAAAAACAAAATGGAGAGGCGGCAAGAAGGGTGTGAATCCAGCTGGAACTCACTCAGGCTCCAAAATCTGCAGGATTTGTTGGCCAAATCGTCCTACATAAGGTAGAAGGGAGACATATCTGCTTTTTCTTCTCAGGAAAAAATAAAAAGAAGGGAAAAACATGGCTGGGGAGAGACTTTGACTCTAGGAGGGCTTTAAGGCAGAGCTGGGAGCCTGGATTCTTCGCCTGGCCAGCACATTTTGGGAGCTTCAGCAGACAATATGGTGAAAATGCCATTTTTTTCCTTTCTAAACAGGCAAAAAGTGTTATATGCAAAGATCCTGGAGTTGGGAAGCTCTTCTGCAGCTGTGTTTACAGGCAGCTATTTCTGTAGAACACAGGCAGCCATGGATGTCAATTTGCTTTTGAGATGAATTTCCTTCCATGCAAACGGTGGTAGCTAGAGAGGGGCTGTGCCAGGAGGTGGTCATGGAATGGCACCAACCCCCCAGAGCACACAGCTCTGCTTGCACCCTCCAAGTAATAACAGCCAAGTCTTTACCAGCTGTGGAGGGAGAATTGTCTCCCCAGCAGGAGAGGTGTGCTGGGAACACAGCAGCTCTCTGTGATGATGGGAGATCCATCAGTACCTGGGCAAATCCCATACCATGAGAGAAGTTCCTCCTTTGATTCCCAGTTTTGGGGAGTGGAGGAGGATTTGGCCTTTCTTTTTGGTCCTCCTTATTTCTCTCTTCAGTTTTCTTGGTGGGGAATTAGTTAATGTGGCAGGCTGAAGGCTGCTGAGGAAAACTGACTCAAAAAAAACCAGCCACAGCCACCTCTAAATATTTGTTCCTGGGTTCAGATAGAAATATTCCCCAGTCAGGACTTCTTTACAGGCTGGCAGGGCTTGGTTGGGCTCTTTCCCCTCAAAAAGAAATCTCAGTGTTTCCTATTTCCCCCCATTTCCCACAGGCAGTGTGAGGTATGTATGAGCTCACCTCCTCCCAGGTATTTCCCTTACCCCATGCTGAACAAAGAGCACAGAAAGGGACACAGAGCAGCACATGATCACCTTCCCCTGCTGCACTAATGCCTGCTGGCACTGCAGGAGGTGGCTGTACCCTCCGGGTAGCATGTGAGTAAGTGATAAAGCATCCTAGTTGCAGGGCTGCTTTTAATGGAGACCTGTGTGGCAGCTCCCAGCTTTCCTTCTGAGAACACACCTCAGAGGAGGGAGGGCTTCTGGACTCACTGCAATCCTTGGGTGTCCTAAACCTGCCCTGCACAACCCCATTGTTAGATAACTCAGAGTCTGACTCCAAAGGGAAAACATACTCAAGACCCTTCTACTATGTTTTGCCCACTGTGCTGAGTTCTGCTCCAGTGAACAACACCCAGTCCAGATTCTCCACCGTCAGATTTATATTTAATATTCAAAATTACCTCTCTGCGTATAAACAAGACCATTGCATAGACAGGGATGGATGTGACTTCTCAGGTAGGTTTTCTTTAGTGCTCAAGACCTCTTCTCTCAGCTTGTGGTTGTACCAGCTACTCTCCAGGTCCCTGAATACACCACCATGAGAGCTGTTCAGTTCAGTAAAAGAAGCTTTTCACATTTAAGGGTTTATTTGTGATTGAATTAAAGCATTATCTTCCTCCTAAACTTGCAGCTGCTCAGAATTTGCAGCAGACGGAACACAAATCAGCTCTGGGAAGGTTTCCTAGAGCAGCACCCCAGGCTGGTGGCTGGGGCAGCAATACCTGTGGGCACAGCGAAGGCGCTGGGAGCATCTCCCTGGGACGTGCGGCACGGCAGGAACGTTGGAAGGTGCCAGCGGGTTGGAATGAGCCCTCGGCAGCCAGCGGCAAGGCAGGACAAGTCAGGACAATCTGGCAGCTGCCGGAATCTGTTCTGAGGTGCTTTTTATCTCCCTGAGATGGTACAAACCACCTTGGCCGCTGCCAAGCTCAGGTGGTGGCCGTGAGGAGGGTTCTGCAGGTTAGGTGTGAAATGGTGAATGTGGTGGTGGTGGTGTGGCTACCCTGGGAGGGCGATGGCTTGGTGTGACCGTAGGGTCAGGTGGACATGTCTCCCCACAAGGGCAGGTCTGGAGGGGCCCCATTGCCACAGCTGGGCTGCCTTGGGGGTCCCTGGGTCCCTCACAGCCACCCTGTCACCCTCAGAACTGTCTGCCCTCATGGGTAGGGCATCATGTCTGCCCTCAGTGTGGCCCCTGTCAGCTGCCCCAGGAGCTGGGAATTGGGCCTGGGAGCTGTAGGGCTGGTAAGGGAGCTGGGGGTGAGGTTTTTTAGGTGAGTCCCTTCCTCGGGCCTGCGGTAGGGTGGATACTGTGGGAGCCCTCATAGCCAAGGGGGTCCCGGGGGTCCCAGGCTTCCATGTTGCATTCAGGGCTGCTGGCCCTCACGACGCCTCGGGGGGCTGCGGTGCTGCCCCTTCCAGTCCCTCCAAACGCCAGGAATAAGGGCTGGGGGTGAGTTTTGGGGCAGGGGAAGCCCTCAATGGGGTGGCTGCTGAAGGAACCCAGAGGGCCCCTGACAGCTTCGGGCCAACCCCTCACCCTCAAGCACTGCCGAAGTCTCTCCGAGCCGAGCCGAGTGTGCCCGAAGCTGTGCCCGC